AAAAAAAAAAAAAAAAAACATGATTGTGGAACATTTTAGGCCATATTCTTACGGAACACTATATACTCTTTTGTAATTATGTTGCCTTAAGACCTAGACGCCTAATTTCAAGGTGTCCGCGAGTAGACGCTAAAACCCCCGAGAGAAAATGCAAGTTTTGCTGTCGGTCGGAGAGCGGAGCACGTGCAATTCCGGGGAGAGTTCGTGGAGCTCCCACACTTACGTTGTTTTTACACCGGCTGCTGGTGCCATGAACTTACAAAATTATCACCTTGATGTCTTCTCATTTGATTTATTTCTGAATTATTATTAATATTATTATTATTTTTTTATTTTGTTTATTTTTTTTGATACAATCATATTTGTGTGAAAAAGATTTTTCATATTATCAGCTTAGTAACTGTGTATTTCATACAGTGTTGTGGTGGCAGAATTGAGCTGCTTTGAGTAGGAAGCCATCATTCAAAGAACCACAAAACTTTGTTTGCGTTTATTACAATATTTTGTGAATATTATAAAATATGAAAGCAGTGCTAAGGCAGGTTTGCTTAAAATGGTAATGGAAAATGAAAAAATAAAGTTTTGTATTAGCATGTCAATGATTCATTTTCTAAGTAAATAGAAAAAAGTAGCCAACACCTTTAGTTGGATGGAATATATTAAGAAGATAATTTTTTGTTGTGCGAACAAGCAATTTTCATGCAAGTACATGCCACAAAAATACAATATAAGCAGTCTTGGTCGGCAAATATATTTTTGAAAAAAAAAAAAAAAATTAATAAATATTAATATACAGAGTTTTTTATGAAGTTGTAATTTATAAAGTTTTCCTTTTACAACAATACTTTTATTTACAAGCCCCCCTTGCGCTTATAAGATGTTGCGCGAAGAGATATGTATGAAGCAGTAAACACGAAATGCAGTGAAAGGCCGTACAAACTCTTTTATTGCCATTCGAAAGACACTCTAAAAACCCAGAATCACAGATAGACCTTACATTTGTTAGAGTAAACTTACATATGCATGTATGGAGGTATGTTGCTATCCACGTGGTATTGTATGTATGAAATGTTGACTGTTAGACCAATTCGAGGAAATGGGAATTTTGCGGTTGCGAATTATTTATTTGTTTGCCTACAAACTCACGAGAACTGTAATTCGTTTACTACAATGTGAAATATTAGAAAAACAGGTTTTTTGTGAGCCTTGCCTCCTTTGTATCTGTTGGCATGTCTGGACTATTCAACCTTACAAGTATAGTGCGAATAAGTTTATGAGGCATAAACGTGTCTGTGGGAATGTCTATAGAGATATAAAAAATAAAACAGTAAATATAGAACAAGCTGGTAAATAAAAGCAACAGCAACAATAACAATAGCGGAAATTGAAATAAAAGTACAAGTATTATCAACAATTAAAATTATTTTAATGTTCGTAATTTTAGTCAACAAAATTCTTATATAAAGCAACCGAACAAATACTCAATGAAGCAAGTAAGAATTCGAGTACAATCGAAGATTTTATACTCTTGCAACTTGCAAGAGTGTAAATGACAAGAGCTAAAGAAAAAATGTATAAGACAATCTTGTTAGAGTAAATGACGAGAGCTAACGAAAAAATATTCATGACAATCTTGTTCGAAATTTTATTTGCTGCAAAAAAGATCTGAGGCCAAAACCGCTATCGTTAATACTTCCCGAGATATTCATCTTTTTAAGTAAGCCTGTATTGAATTTTTTATTACATACCATGTATGGTATTTGTAGCAAAGAAAATTTGCTACAAGTTAGTCATGTACATTTCTTCTATAGCTCTTATCATTTACGAGATATATTCAAAAAAAAAAAAAAATGCGAATTTCGTAAAAAAGTCAGTTTTAAAGCTCTATACTACCTCGCCGGTGTGAGATTCGACTTTGTCGCAATGAGCACTGTTCAATTCAGAGGAATATGTGTCTAAAGTGAAAGCGATGCCATTAAATGCAAAAGATAAGAAATCACGATTATCCTGTATTTTCTATTGATCTAGTCCTTAATGTTAATATTATGGGCTCAAATTTTCAGGGAATTTTTTTAGGGGCTATATTCAAGGAAATTCCATGATAGAATTGCGAAAAATGAAAAAAAAACCCTAATAAATATAGATAGTAATATATAGAAAAGCTTTAAATCGGTATCGGTATTAGAAAAGAATAAGACACAGACACTGTGAAAAGTACCAGAAGGTCTGCTTAAATAACATAACCATCACAGGAATTAAAATTTAGAAACATATTTGTGGTGGCAATGTACTATTCACAGATAAAAGGCAACGTAAGTTTTCAATACTATATCCATTCTTGGGTCTCAACTAATTGCGTTGATCTTAGCGAGTTTGTGGAATATTTGTCTTTCAGCTTACAGCCCCACTGGAAAAGGATAAAACATGATAAGGCGCTTAATAAAGCCAATGAGGATCTATTGTAAACCACTATGACATCGCTTGTGGCATTAAACTTAAGCTCTCGGTCTTATAACACCAGGGCTAATAGTAAACTACCAAAACCAATTTATGTCTACCCGCTTTTCAAAGTATATCTCACGCACCGAAATTAAAATCTGGCTTAAAAAAGTGATCTAAAAACTCCTAGTGGGTCAACTTCTCCATCACATTATTACACATTTCACTGATGTGTTTGCATTTTGCAACTTTTTATTTAAACTTTGTTATTCATATCTATTTCTTAAGCGAATTGGTAAACTTTAAATAATAACGTAAGCCCGAAGTTGGCTCTAAAGGTTAACGCACTAGCATAGACGTGCGCCTCACTGAAACCGAACCATTTTCTTCCCGCATACTTTAAGAAAACGCATCTCGGTTCATGCCAGAGCCATAAATTTGGTAAGCTTTTGTGGATGCGGTGAATTGTGTACRTTTGTACCAGACCAGACCAATGCTTTACACATTTTCACGATTGTCGCGTGCCAMACGTAATCATAAATTTCCAGAAACTGACATTCAATTCCGATCTAAAGCTWAAAGAAGGTTACTGSACACAAAATCGGACAAGAAAGGCGRATCCTAGTGGATGCACTTAYCGACCGATGGCGACGCCCATCGTAAATGTTTGTTGCACGATTAGAGGATGTGAGTAGCGTATACTACATTTGATTGCTTGTTATTGCATTACTACATTCACCTGCATTTTACGCGCATGGCTCCATGTAGCCGTAGTGTGGCATCCACGCGTAGAGTGTGCTATCATAGGGCACATCATTAATGCGCACGAAAGTCTCGCTGCACCGGACACGGCTGTATGTTGCAGATGCAATAGCGTACGCTTTCGCCCTTACCGCCGTTTGTGTTACAGCTACGGCGTACTTGTTGCATGAGGCCGYCATCGCCTCTACGTGAACACGTCGATCACTCCGACCAGCCAAACTATTGGCCATCTTTGCTGCTCGATGAGCATGAGATACTGCTACTGCTTCTGCCACGCTTTTGCTGCAAGATACACTAGGTTAATACATACATACGTAATATTAGTACAAGAAGTATGAAATGACGTGGCAGCAGTGCTTCGAGAGTACGTCACCGAATGTGYCTTAAACAAAATCTAAAGGACACATTTTCTGGGGTTAGAACTCGATAACTATTTATCGCTGAAGCATTAAGTTTTGTTCACTTAAATATTGGCGTATACTCGTACATATAATCGGTGGCTCTACCTCTATCGATGTTTGATTAAATTTTTATGATYTTTTATCGACAGAAACACGGTCGGAGAAGCATTGATCAACTAAAAATGTTCAACAACTATTTGAAAATTCGGTTTTCAATTTTGATTAAGAAAGGAATCCAGCCCTTGAGCATTTAAATCCCTAGGTATTTTGTTAATAGTCAAAAGAAACTATCTAACGCCAATTATATAATACTTATAAAAACCGCCAACTAAGAAGAGGCAGATACTCTATATATGTATATTTATGTTTGTTATTAAGTACAAGAGGATACAAATATTCACATAAAGAAAGCAATAATCTTAAAATTGTGAAATGAAGGATCCATGCCAGTTAAGATTGTAATTATATTACAGTCTTTCTCATTTTGCRCGACCAGTTTTCAAATTATGTTTCTAGCATATATATTTTAGTATGATATTATTTTCTGTCCTCTTTATCCTGCCACACCACTTTTCGATACTAATCAAGCTACTAATTATAACATTTTACATAACATAAAATTTTTACCATTTACATGTTTATTATATTCAATCACTTACAGTTCATTCTCCAAATCGGAGGCGGTGTTCCATTGAAAGCTTGGCTGGCGTTCAGGCGTTTCGTTACCGAWGTATAGTATTCTCTATAAAATTGTCATCTAAAAATATAATACAAATACAAAATGAAAATAAGTACAGTAGAGAAAAGTAATCAATTAAAAAGTTCAGGAAAAAAATACGCAAAACAACATCCTCTTAAAACAAGTAACATATTAAAAGTCTAGTCGACCATGCCATAACCCTTACAATTATTTCGCTACGTTGGTCTTTCGTGCTGCTTTTCGGTTGTTGTTTAAACTTTTACAGTCTTTTTTGTTGCTGACTTTTAAATAATTGATATTTTCCATTTACTGTCAGTCAGTCACGTTGCTGGCATTTCGAATGCAAACGGACTACCCCGTAGTTGAGTCAGAAGCCGGAAGCAAGGATAAGCGAGTACCAGCAGTGTCAGCGGGCAAAATTTGCCAYGAGCTCGAGCCGGTTCGACTGGCACAACCAAGATGCGTTCTAGAAGTCATGTTGTGACGCTTTAATGCCCCATAAAGCATTAAACCCACGTCGCCGGCTGTCAATGTTGCATACAACTGAGTAAAAAATGTACAAAAAATAAAAGCAACAAAAATACGAATAATACAAAAAGTAGAGTATAAGCAGCAAGTCTATGGCATCCGCAAAACGGGTTAACGGTAGTTTGAGGAATTAAGCAACCCAAGTTTGGCATAGTTGTGTTAGAAACGGAAGCTGCGATATAATTAAGCATGAATTTTTCGCATTCGATGGAATCTACTGATTATTTGTTATTGTATTATTGTTAGTTATGATTGATTGATAACTGAATTTTTATTTTATTTTTTTTTGTAAGGTAGAATTGCATATTTTTCTTGCATATCTTCGGTATATATGTATAAACAAATATAGTTTCARGCTGCTTATTCTTCACAAATGTCACTTGGCTTTTTGCCAGTTTCCGYYGATTAATGTCGAAGGCGAAAGTGTTTGTTGTAATGTGGTTAAGCGAGTCAAAAAAAGCGGAAGTAAATAAATATGGAGAGAACACAGTAAACCTACCTCGCAACAATACAATCGACCACAACACGTGTGGAATGGAATAGACACAAGAAAAGCTGCGGCGACTAACATTGTTTCAAGGAAGGAGCACACTCTTGTAGACGGAAGACTTCTCCAGCCTGCTGAAAAAGCCTGTAGTAAAAGCATAATACCAGGAGTTGGTGAATCCGATTCCAAAATCGATGACGATAGAGCAGACGTTCCATTGCCCGACCAAGAAGAAGTTCCAATAGCAATTACCCACCTGATCAAAAATATTGCGGAGGCCGATGGATTGCCGGCCGAGCTGATAAGGTGCGTGTAGAATATGGTCGAATGTAGGTATTCTTGAAGTTTGTAACTTAAGTGTGATCATCCAATCCACAAAAGGAAACCCCACAATCTGCGCCAACTTATATGGGATAAGCCTCCTCAACATCGCATATAAGGTTCTAAGCCCACCGTCCACAAACTGATAACACCTTATCAGTGCGGCTTTAGACCTGGACAACCAATGACTGACCAGACATTCACCATGTGCAAAGTCTTGGAAAAAACCCGTAAAGGGAAGATTGTCACTCACCACGTCTTCGTCGTTTTAAAGCCCCCTTCGACAGCACGAACTTTATATAGTAAGTTGTATATGTTCGTAAACGATTTTGTGCGAGTATAGCTTTTAAACGCAAAAGTTATTGTTGTATTCTAATTAATCTTTTAAAACTAAAAAATTTTAAAGTTTTAATTTCTTTGATTGAAAGTTGCCCATGACTATTTGGCCTTACATACTTGCCAATAAACTTTCGACCAGCTATCAATTCGAAGTTAATAAATAATAAATTGAGCTATTACTTTACMCATTGTTTCCTACTTTATTTCATTTTAAGATTTTTATGCAATAATGGACATATAGCATTAATGCGGAAGTAAGAAAAATTATGGAAATTGAGAGTGAAAGCCTAATACACAAATATATATTTATATGTATTTATTGTACATACATACACACATATGTACATATATAGTTAGATAGTATTAGTTATAGAGCACTCAGGTGCCTAGACCAATTCTGTTGAAGTCCTTGCCGCACTGTTATGCTTGCCTACCCTAATAGCAGTTCACAGCTCATTCAAGTTTTCAGACTGTCTATTTGGTTAGACCAAGAATTACAAAAAAGAGTGCATTGAAATGAAGATATTTGTTGCAACATCTGCTGTGGTATGCAACAGTCGGCAGCATATATYAGAARAACAAGTGTWGAATAAGAATTTTCGTGAGTGCYGCCGACAGCTGTGAAAAGTTKGCAGTTAGAGGCAATTAAAAATTTATAATATGCCCATCATGGTGTGTATAAAAGGAAAGTAAAATTACTATCTAAGTGACCATAACGCAAATACTTCATTAAAATTAGGCAGTGAAAGTACAGAAGTGGCGTTGTTTAAGCTGAAGTAAGTTTTCCATGCAAGCATTTGATTCTGATCATTCAGTTTTGTGTGGCAGMTATATGCTATAGTAAACCGATCTGAACAATTTCTTCTGCCAACTTATGTGAAGATACATTATCAAATGTAAAAGWTTTCCATACAAGAACTTWATTCCGATCGCTCAGTTTGTATGGCAGCTATATGTTATAGTGGTCCGATATCGACGRTTTCGACAAATGAGCAGCTTCTTGAAGAGAAAATGACGTTTGTAAAATTTCAAAACGATGTCTTAAAAACKGWGGSACCCGTGAGAGCARAATTAATATTAAGACACTTCCTATAAACAACAAGTCAAATCTATATCAGGTTGGTCTAGTCATGCAAGTAACAGAATCACTAAAAATTCTAGTTAAAACTCCTTGAGGAGCCAGTATTGAAYAACACGTATACTAACAATTCAAGCCAACAAACAAACACCAAAAATTTAATGCACTTTGAGCATTTTGTCACCCACAGATTTTTGAAGTGGCCAAAAGCTACCATACTTAACGACTGCCTTTCATAAAATATAACAGTAAAGATGTTCTGACGTTTGAGAGAGACTTATTTGTGTGTTGAATAGTCAGTCATCGTCATTGCCAATAATCTACTAATGACCAAAAGTTATGTCAACTGTMTAAGACCCTCCGSKTGTGTGTRGATGTGGGTGCATTCGAGTGGTATTAACAACGCCAGACGTTCTAATCCGCCACTTAGGTTCAACGCTA